TCATACGTTTATGGATATGTTAGGTTGGGTGCATGAAAGTACTTACTGGCGATGTGAAGGGGTGACGGAGTACCTCTTTTTTAAAAGTATTATAGTAATACCATCTTTTTAGATACTAATCAAAAAGAAATATAAACCTTCAGTTACGCCGTACGCACAATTTTTGATACTTTTGCATCCCCCTTCTATTTTTTTCCAATTCAAGTACAACTGTATAGTGGAGGTATACACTAATTGAAGCTTAGATCATATGATCTAAGAATTGAAGAGTGTTAACTGAGTAACTGACCAGCAGCTGCTGTTTGCAAGTAAAAATGATTGGACCATACTTTTTTAAAAATATTATAATAATATCAATTATCATTATTCAATTGTGTGTTTAAAATTCAACTTAAATATGATTATTATTTGAAAAATTATAAATTATTAAACAGCAATAACGAAAATTTCATTTTTAGGAGTTACCGACAATATCTTCACGTTGTTTTGAGTCGGCGGCAAGGCACAGTTTTTTCTCAAGAGACAATACGGAAAAATTTATTCAATTTTGTCGTCGGCTAGGTGTTCACCAACACCTCCTGTTTGAAAGTGACGATCTAGGTAAGTGCTGGTCATATCTACCTACTCAATGGGTAGTTGAGTATAGCTTGAAATTTCGTGGCCTTATGATCTATATAGGAGGCGGGGGCCCCCTTAAGCCCAGGAATTAAATGATTAAATAGTGATGCTAGAAAATCTATTGTTAGAATAGCTAATAACAAAATTAAATAATACCTACTAATAACAATAATAATATATAATTGCTTTACCTACTTGGTACTTTACATTTAATTAAAACATATTATAAACTTACAAATTAACTTTTAGAGCCTTCGTTTGATTAAAAAAAAAATTAATCATTTCTCTGTTTTTTAATACCATGATACCATAGTACTGTGGCTCCCCAAACTCGGACAGTTGGATGCATCCTGCAGCGGGCCCCGGCCTAAATACACCACGTGTAATCATATATATGCACACGTTTTGATTCGTTTCGAAAAAATAAGTATTATTTAAATATGTTTTTGTCTTAACACAGTTTTGCAGAACAAACCTCGTAATGTTGTATTGTGCCTCATGGAAGTGTCCCGCTTGGCTTCTCGATTTGGTCTGGAACCACCGGGCTTGGTGCAAATGGAAAAAGAAATCGACGCCGAAGAAGCCAGAGAGCAGAACGGTGGTCCCGATACAAAAATTATATCTACTCCTAACATTAGACATCGGTTTGTTTTGTATACAAAGATAAAAATATCAAACACAATAACAACAATAATCATTTACGTACAAACGTTACAGCTCAACCAGCGCAATACCAATGGCTATCAGATCGGTGAGCAAATTGAGGAGAACCGAGAGCCTCGGAGCAACATCTATGGTTACTTTGAAATCGGAATCGGACACTACCGACGACGATTATACGATCGAAGGCGGCAATAAATTCAGTGAACTCGATTACAAAGTAAAAAGATAAATATTATGTATCCTTATTATAAGTTAGGAGGTATATCTACCGACTACCACTATACAACATTACAACTGGCAGGGGAGCTAAAGAATTTCGCGCGGGATGCAAAATAATTTATGTTTACCGATAGCTAACCAGAACATAACGAGAGCCGATCGCCAGTCTTGTAAAAGATACTAGGTACTAATATAGGTACTGGTATTCAAGGATCTCCAGATATAGTCAGGGCCGGATTTAGGGATACCGGGGAACATAGGCGGAATTCCATTGACATTTCTGAGGGGCTAAATTAACTAAAAAAAAACCTTGTTCAAATAATGTGATTGAAATTGCGTCGCATATTTTATTCAATTGAATCATAACACATTTTAACAGCCTGTAAGTAATTGAGTACACATAAATAAAGCTCATACCTAGTAAATAGAATATAATATATATTTTGTGATTTAAGTACCTAGGGTACTATTAATATTCGAGAAATACGGTATACTTCAGGGGAGTTAAAATAAAAAAAAATATTATTAAAAATATTTAAAATCATCAACATGTTAACATTTGCTTTGGAAAAGTATTTAATTTAAAAAAAAACATTAGCTGTAATTTATGAAATGAAGATCCGCGTGGAATGCAATCAGCACCACCCTTGCACCCATAAAATTAATCACCTCTGTTACTAGTTACTTACCATCACCATTCACCTGCCTTTAATCTAAATTATAATTTGTAAATTATGAAATTTGTGAATTTAAAGATTTAGTACTCACTTTCAAACGATTAATTTTATAGGTAAAACAAGCCAGTCGACAAGCTCTCGCGCAGTGTCGCTGTCAAGGGAAAAAATTGAAATTGAAAAAAATAGGAGAAGGAAGATACAACATACATGGCCGGAATGTTTTTATCAGGGTAATGATTATTTTACTGCATTGAATTGATTCAGTTGTCGTCAAAAGATACAGCATTTCTAAGAGTTGTACCCATTACCTACGTAGGGGCGTATACATTGTAGGGATGACGAAGGGGTGTGATCCTCCCCATGGCCTTTTTATGGTACCTATACGGCTGTATATTTATTTGTTTTTACTTTTTTGGTTTAATGGCAGTACATAGAAACATTACGATTACTTAATACTTAGTAGGATTACTAGCAAGTAGGTAATATAATATAGAAAAATCGGTCAGTAAAAAATCGAAATTTAATTTTATAATTTAATTATATGGTGTATACATTTTGAAATAATGTGTATTACATGTATGTTTTATTATCCATCATTATAATTCAGTAATCAGTGTATAGATGGATATTGATAATTGTTATATTTAAAGTTTAAATATATCAATTATAATTACGGAAACCCTAACTTAAATTCAACAGTCTACAGATAATTTATGTAACTACAAGGTATAGGTAAGGTTAATTAATTAATTAGTTTTATGAGTAAAATCTTTGGGAGTAAATAGTTTTCACCTAATAGTCTATAATATCCTTATTAGTCTTCACAATAAAAATGTTTGTTTCCGCCTTTTTTGAATAGGTATGGACATTCTTTCCACCTCAAAAAAATTAATGTTTTGGACATTCACCCCCGATATGTAACTCTTTTTTTTGCACACATTATGTGATAGGTGACATATTTTTCCACAGATTTAACCCCCCATATAAAAGTATTTATGTATACGCCTCTATATTTACTACGCTTACTACTTCAGTGTCAGTTCGTCACCGACTGAACTGATGAGCACCAGCGTCCAGCTCTAGTATTTGATATTTTTCTTTTTTTTTCGGAAAGTTGTTAAAAGGAACTCACATGATGGTCCGTGTCGGAGGTGGATGGGACACGTTGGAAAACTTCTTAACCCGTCACGACCCTTGTCAAACGCCTGGCCGTCCAAATGTCCGGGTCCCGCAGCCTACCAATCATCGAACGCCGTCACCGGCGCCGCCAAATAGTCGGGTCCAGTCACCGTCACAACGCAAGTCGTCTATTCCCAGATACCTTGGGTCAAAGTTTAACTCGTCGAACGCATTCAAAACGCTGCCTGAATCCGCACTTTTAGCACGCTAATGTTTTCCTATACCTAGTTACGTTGTACATCAATGAAATAAATATTTTATTTTTAATATAACACATATACATATATATTATATATATATAATTAGACAAATAAAACAGAAATAAAATATATCATGTATTAGTTAAATATTATCTACACACAAATACACAACATATTATATTATTATTCTTTCCTACTATAGAAACTAAATGGCAAGATCATAGGTAAAAAAAATATAATAATTTTAACTATTATAATAACAACAAAGTTACATATTATTGTATAAAATAATTGTAATATTTGAACAGAACAAAGACAATAATATAGTCTTGAGTATTACAAATATATTAACTTGACAAACTATGTAAAAACAACATAATATTAACAACAGTAACATAGCTAGAGCGGGTAACTAACAATAAACACAAAATAACAAATTATTATCTGATAGGAAGCTACAATAGAAATGTCCATTATTAACATTGTGTTAATAAAATATATATTGTTACAAATACTTTTACAAAAAAATATCATCATCAGATCTTGGAGGCCAAAACTTAATACGTAGAATTGATTTTTCAGTTTATACAATATGATACTTTTTAAAAAAAGGACACAAAAACGGTTTAAACTAACACAAAATATAATCACATTATCGTATTTATTAGTATGAGTTGTTGTAGAGGTGTTTGTACTATAAATTACATTGATATCGATAAACATGTAATTAATAATTAATAATTTACAATTAACAATTAATAATTCATAACATTTTAGTTTTGTTAAAAATAAATTAAGCGGGGGATTAAGTTTAAATGTTTAACAAAAACATATAATATATAATATAAATGTCTATAAGATCTATGAGTTACTCTTAACTATGGCGGAAGACGACATATTATTTTGTGCGTTCCAAATTAAGTGTATGAATATTAATATTGGACTCAAATAAAAATACAAATTTAAATAAATAATATTATGTTAAAACTAAAAACAAAACATAATGAAAACATGGACCAAACATTTTTTAAATAAACAATATGTTATTTTAATCGGAAGATCAAATTTGTATGTACTACCAATTTTTAAGTACAGCAGTCTGTTAAGATGTTAATGAGTGACATAAGTTGTTGGTTCTCACATAATAGCAATTTTAAATATGGACGGAATATTTTCCTTAATTTCACATGATATTATTATATCATAATATCTAATTCAAGTTTCAACTAACAATAAAAATGAGTAAAAATAATTCACAGTTCTATTAATTAAAACGATAGGCTTGAGCAAAACAATTGAGTCAACAATTTAATAACTTCAAAAGGGTTAAAACTTTTAAGTTCACAGTAAAAAAATATATTTATGCAGTATGCACTAATAATAATATGAGTAACAATAATAATAATATTATAGTTCATCATGTACCTATATTTATGTACACTAACTAGCTAATTGTGTGTTCTTGACAAATGGCCGACAGTTCCTTCAACCATTCTGCCAGAATTATTGCGTTTATTGGCAAGTCTAAAGACTCGGTTTCATTTTCTTTGTAATACCTAAAATTACATTTCAATATTCGTTACAATATGCATAAAAAAAACATGCTATTATTTGGTTTTAATAAATTAAAAACCGCATTGTTCTATGACATGTTAAAATTTATACCTGTAACCGTTGCTTGTGGATTCTAATATGGCTTCCTTGTTTCCTGAATTTCTTCTGAACATTGCTCCAAATGCTACTGATATGCTGCGCCGTTTGGTTTCACCTAAAACCATATCGATTCAAAATTGTATTTCATAAATGTGTCTCATAAAAACGACGATTTATCAAAATTGTTTTATACCTCTAGCAAATGGTTCCGGAATTTTCTCACCAGCTGAACGACTGCATTTAGTGTTGCAGAGTTTATTTTCTCGTTCAATTAAAAATGATTCGGCTTCTTTAACTTTTTCCACACGGCTGCATAATTTTGTTTCCATAGTCTGTTTTAAAGAGCGCAATATCTACAAGGAAAAACAAACTTAGTAAAAATGTTAAACTTTTGTTTAATGCATTTGTCTACTAATAAACCAATCATATCTACAGAGTTAGCTGGCTTCAAGTGCTTACTTGAAACAGAGAACGTATACATGGCTGAAAAATCATAGAATGATTTAGTAACAATGATTGAATTAAAGGTTTGTTGTACATGGACAGACGAGTCATAACAGCAGTGAGACGTAAGTTTATCCGAAAATCTTGTTCGGGCAAATTTTCTAGATTTGAAAATAGCGCTTCGAGAAATGGACCTAAAAATTGAATATTTCAAGCCAAAATCTTGCTTGTTTAATGTGTAAAATGCAAACAAAATTAGATTGTTGTCTTGCAAATAAATCTTACCCAAACAAGGGTATTGTGTAAGTGGTTCTTTTGTCTTGAATGCTGACTGTCTTATGAAGCACGTTGGCGAATCACTACCACATGGCGAAGAAGTGTTTGACAAAATTTCGTCAGCAGGCCTACTATCATCAGTTCCGAGCATTCTGAAAAATTAAAATATTTATCTTTTTCTAAATTTTAAAATTTCAAACAGTACTTGTCAATGTCTTTCATGGCTTTAAAACTTTCATATCCACTTGAACTATCGTCAGCTGATAATATGCTGTTTTGATCATTCTCCACATCATTTGTCTTAGTTTCAACTAAAAACCAAATCATATTGTAATTATTGTAATAATTGATTAGTGATTGTGTAGATTTTACAAATATTATTAAATATGTAATATTTCACTAAAGATACATTTTTAGTACTCAAGATACATATACAAAATACACAGAGATAAACTCAAAGCATTATATTATTTGAAAATTAAAATTTGTAGAAATGTATTCACTTGGAATTACACCCAATAATAAATTTAATTACTAATGTCTGGAGTGCAAGTCAAATATAATTTGTATTAAAATAAATAAAAAATGTAATAAAACCTATGAAGTCACTTTTATTTAAAAAATTAGAATTATGTTTTTAAGTAGATTTTGATTTATCAAAAAGTAATTTTAAGCACAACTAAGCTTAGTTTATTAAAAGACTAATTTCCACAAGTAAATCATTTTTAGCTTAGAGAAAAATAGAATTTACAATACTAATGTTGTTCTGTATTTTTATTTTGAAAACAAAATAAATAAATTTTTTTACAAACAAAGGAAAATTAATGGATAATAATAAATAATATAATAATGATAAATAGTTTTACCTATTACGTGAGATGGATTTTCTCCATCATATAGGTATGTCCAATGTTTAGTTTCTATAGCACATTCAGCTATCTTAATTCGTGCACAGTTCAAATAACATCGATACTCAGAGAATAAAGTTTGAGAATTAACATTCCTATGTCTAAAATTAAATTTAAAATGATAATCAAAATAAAAGTAACAGTAAAACAATATTCTTATAACTTACTTGAAGACATCTGGTATTAAGGACAAAAATATGTCAGCTGATTTACAATATGAATCTACTTGTTTAATACGTGAACGTTGGCTAAGCATTATGTGCGTGCACGGCACTAAATACTTGAATACTAGTTCTAACATGACATCCTCACAGTTTAAGTCTAAAATTGTTTCCATCAATGCAAGTGTAGCAATACAAACCTAAACAATTTTATAAAAAATGTTTAAGGCATAAAAAATAATAAAATAAAATAATATTTTGGTATAATAATTGCATATATTTAATCTAAAAATCATTGAAGTCTTTTGACTTGCTAAAATTGTATAAGCTAAGAAATGAAGGATAAACATGTACTTGGGAAATAAAAATATCAATATTTTATGACATTATTTAGCCCTATAATAGTATGGAAATGGAATACCTTAAAAGATTTGCTATTAATTCGATTGACGAGCAATTCAATTATTTTTATTTTTTCAAATCTTTCACACAGCACAAATTTCACAAATGTTTGTAAAAGTCCTGGATGAGTGACGCTACGAAGTAGTAAATCTAAGTATACTGTTGCTGTAGCTACTTCCTCTTCTGCCACCTTAAAATAGTATAAGTTACACAAATCAAAATTTTTTAATTGTATCATATTGATAAGGCATATACCATGTACACAGATTTAGTAAAAGTGAGACATTTTCAAATTATATACAACAAAGTAAAAATGAAAAAATAAATATAATTACAATTTACAACTACAAAACAATGAAATACTTTTATTTTTTTTTTTATTACATTTTATTTCTACATTAAGATGGTTCTGCATTTTGAGCATTAAATAAAGCATGCGTGAGTCATTTTATTATTGTCACATAAATAACATTACAAAATAATTATAATAAATACTAGTGAAAATAATTTTATTTAACATTCCCTAACACTATACTATTTACTATTTGATTTAAAAAGAAACATAACATAATTTAAGAAGTAAAAAAAGTAAATTTAGGAACAAAACGACATGTTATAAATTGGGGGGCTGACGGGCTGTCTATCTAGAGGTAGCCTCTTCTAGTTGAACTACTGTACATTAAAAACAAAATTGTACTAAAAAAAACTTAAAAATATTAGTTGATGTTATTAAAGTCAGTAATAAATTGTTGTCGTAATATTTTTAATAATAGTAGTAAATGTAGAAACATGTTTTTTTTAGATGTTGCTTTACAAATACTTTTATTAAACAAAAAGACAACACAATAAGATGAATAGAGCTTACAGCAGTGCCGTGAAACAAGTTTAATGAAAACTTATGATATTAAGCGGATGTTGCACTCGCATGTCTCTCCGTCTTACAAATATATAACATAGCAAAAAACTGTTTTGCGCGGGAAAGAACAGAGAACACTACAGTCATAAACAAGAAACAACATTTTCTCCACATAAGTAGGAGAACTTTGGCTGTACAATATCGTTTTTATTTTTTTCGTAATTGGAACTTAAAAAAAAGTTATTCAAGTTTGAAAAACACAAATAATAATGGATTTTGAAAAAATATGAACTTTTTTTGAATAAGTGATATCAAAAAAATAAAAATGATATTGCACAGCCAAAGTTCTCCTTTATATGTGGTGAACATTTTTAGTCTTGTAATTTTTTTTTTAGTTATGACTGTAGCCTTTTTGGTTTTTTCTAGAGTCAAAACGATAACAACATATGCAGCTGAGACATCCTCTTAAAAAATGAATATTTTGAAAATAAAAAAGATATTTTCTTAGAAATATTAGAGATTGGGCTACTTTAGATAACACTAGCCTGACATTCCCAGTATAGTTTGTACATTATCATGCAATACAATTAACAATGATCAAATTCCCAAATACACCAAAGCATGTAAAATATTCAAGAACCCTGCCTTACTGTAACATGCACTCAACGTAGAAAATACAGGAAATTTATAATGTTTTTCTTGACATAAATTTAAGTCAAAAATTGTAAATACTGTAATTTCATTTAAATTTTGGTTATAACTTATATTTAATATTAAATTAGTCTTATGACCTTAGTTGTTATTGCTGTTAGAGACAGTAAAATATAAGAAAACAAATAACACAATAGCTAAATATTCAATTTTGCACATGCAAAGGCCACAACCACATCAAATAAATTTTACCCGCGATAAATGTGCATTGATACCGCAATTATTTTCAAAGTCCTAAACAGAATAAAACATAATTTGAACAAGTGTTTTAGACAGTTTTTAAAGCTTATTACAAAATTATAATTGATTGCTTTAAATGTAAAGTGCATTATTTTTTATTTATTAAGCAAAATATAGGTAGGAGTAATATGATAATGGGAATGTAATTAATGAGTAACAATGAGTAATGTTAATATGTTATACTAAATACTAATTGTTCATTCGCATCTGCAATAATTCTTTATTATTTATTTTTATAATATTAATTATTTATGCAATTATGTTATACATAATATAATCCTTTTAATATCTTATATTCTTTTTTTCAGAATGTTATGAAGTATACAAAATGTTTTTTACTAATGTACATTTGTTTTCTAGTTTCAACACTTAATATTTATTAATAAGCAGAAAGATTATATTATACATTACAACCATTATGTTTTTGATCATAAAGTACCTACATATCTAATAATTGAATTATTTGAGTACTAAAATTAAAATTATTTTTAATAAGTAATCTGCTAAGTTTATCATTCTTCTAATTAAAATTATAAATATCAGAAACTTAAGCTATTACAGTAATCTATGTTATACTATTAAACATTACCATACAAGTTAGTAGTTATCAATTAAAATTAGTAGAATATAATATGTAAATAAAATTCAATTAAGAAAAGCTTTTTTAAATGTTATTTTAATAAAAAAATAACTATAAACTTATGTTTATATTCCTTCAAACAATAATTTCTAGTTCCACTAAAAATAAAAAAGCTAGAGAAGAAACTTAAATATCTTTTTTATCCCGACAATGATTTTTCTAGAAAAAGCTTTTATAATATCATACAATACCTATTAGAACCACATAGTTACAATTCAGAATATTTAGATATTTTAAATAATCCTATTTTACAATAATATAAAATTCTATAATTTAAACTAAGTAATTGAATATTTAAAATATAATTTTTAATGTACCTGCATTAATGCTGGCCCGACAACGGGTAGAAGGAACCCATGGTATAAGTAATCCAAAAGTTGATCATATACAGATTTGTGACATATTTTAGCAACAGCATTACACAATTCTACTGAAGCTAAGAAATTATTTAGTTCTGGTACATGTTCAATATTTTCTGGGCTCAGTCTGTAGCAATCATTTTCAAAATCTAATTTTCGTGGCAACACTGAATATAGACCACTTAAACCAGTTGCCAATACAGGACTCACATTCGATTTAGATGTTATGATATTAGCTAGTGTATCATTTTGACGAGATAATGACACAAATATTAATAAGGCATCACGCGCCTCTTCACCAATTGATCCATCACGGTGTATGAATGCCATCAATAATGACAATATAACACATCTGAAAACATATTTGAACGGTATTTAAATAACTGCAAAAAGAAGTACAATAGATAATATTTACTTTGAATTTGAAGTGTTATCTTTTAAGACATTGCACAATATACTTGGTTGATGAGAAAGCACAACACAAAATTGTCTTAAAACTGTGACTAAGTGTTTTTCAATTTCTACAGATAAGCAATCACCATCATATGAGTTTAATATTAGTATTAAAGGATTTAATATAGAATCATCAGAAAGTATCTGATGTATTCGAAGTTCTGACAAGAGAACTCCATAAACTTTTAATTGTTCCAATTTTAAATAGTTTTTGAACCTAAAAATACATCAAAATATTTGATTTAAAAAAAAAGTAATATAGTTTTGATACATATCATTACATATCATGATTAATACATTAATAAATTGAATAGAAAAATATTTTCCAAAGAAAATTTTTAGTGTTAGCTAAAAATTAAAATATTTAGGTGAACTTGATGATAATGTCTCATAGTACTTATTAGTATTTATAAATAAAACTATGGTCTATTTATTTATTGAATTTCAAAGACCTGGAGAACACTTTTTTGGTTTTACAATTTTTTATGGATTTCTTCGAGAAATTATCTATCAATGTAACGTATCAACAACATATCAGTGATTAATACAATTAAAAGCTAAAAATATAAAAACTAAACACTGTGTATACTTAAATCTACAACATAGGTCAATAAAATACAATTACCTGTCTGTTTTTAAGCTCCATGAGTATAATTTTCCTAGTAATTGGTTTCTCAAAAAGTATTCAAGACACTGTGATTGATTGGTTGATTTGGCTGATTGTACATCAAGTAACAATAGCTTTATTAATTGATTTAAATGATTTATAACGGCTACAATATCATCATGCTTAATAACGCCTTTTGAAGTCTAAAAAATATGTATTTAAGCATAATTTTGAAGTATGGTTTATTATTCAACATTTCAACATTAGTACATAAGCATCTAATAATATGTATGTAGCAGTGCCGTGCTAACTTTAATTGGGGCCCCGAGGAATAATATTTGGCATATACAATGGCATTATTTCCACTTTATTTATGTTCTTAAGTTAGTTAAATTCATAAGAAACATTAATACAATAACTACTAGTATAATATGAATTGTATTGGACATTGGATGGATCTTACCATATTCTTGGGATGATTTTAAATTCCAGGAAAGATAGAATAAAAAATGGATTATATGCCAAAAATTTTTAATTAAGTTTTTAAAAATGTTAGAATACCTATATCAGTTTTTCTAAAAATCTTATAAGTTTTGTTGAAATATACAACCTATCTATAGGAGGTACTTCTTTTGCAACAAAATATACCCGATTATATTATAGGTATTAATAAAGTTGTACCATAAGCTACCTAACACATTTAAAGTTTGAAAAATCAAATTACATAAAAACAAAAACTTAATACTCACTTGAAATCTATCAATAATTTCAAAAGTTTGTTGCCAATGTTTGTTAAAGCTATCAAAACACGCAGACAAATCAAGATCGTCAGTTTTTTCAACTCCTTTATTTCGCTTGAACCAACTCATATTATAAGCATCATATGTATTTAATATTTAAAGAATACGTTACATAATACACTACAGTAATATGCATAAACTAAATTAACGACTAATAAATAACATAAGAAAAAAAAAACTAAAAAGTATGGTTGACAAAAAACTTTTATTTAAACACAGAAGGTATACTCAGATCACAATCATAAATACCGAACGGCATCAATGAAATAAAACTATGTTTAATGTTTAGGAACATTTAATAAGGGATTAATTTACATAATGTTAACATGAATGTATTATGTACCTATTTACAATACTGACAAGTGACAACAAATAAGATTAGAATATTAGATGCAGAAATTTTTTATTTCACACAATTTGTCAAATCTTGTGCCATTATCTAAAAAGGTAGATAGCAACAAAAAGTTATCAAATTTATCATAATGACTAGAAACACGGTATCAGTATATTTTGGTTACATGGTAAGCAATAATAATGATAACAATAATGATAAGACACGATAACGGAAAGTGGACATTTTAAATATTTTTAGGTAAACACGAATACACAATACACAATACACATACATTAATACATATTACATCACTATAAGCTACAGTACATCAAGTATCAAATATACAATTTATTATTTAATGTCTAAAAATACTGGATTAATTCTTTATAATATGGAAGAACTTCATTTTTATATAATCTATGATCTTCCCCGTGAGTAACTTTTAAGATGGACATTCCTTTTTTCAAGTACTTTACGGCGGATTCAGAATTTTCAACAATGGAACATAATTTAAATAACTTCATGTACAAAACGCCCAAAGAAGGATGCCATTCATTATAATATACCCTGAAAAATAAACATTAAACCACATCACTAAAAGTACTATTTTAAAAATATTTTAAACTTAATGGTTAATAAAAGATTTTAATAGACAAGAAAACACTATTAATAACAAAAAATTTCAATTGTAATCTATAGTATTCTTGACTATTTGGAATGCACATGTTATATTTAGCAATAAACAATTAAAGAAAGCTAATACATTGTTGTTACTTTTTCATATGACCAACAAATTGCGTTTGTGATATTAATAATTAACAAAATATTAGTTTATACATTTTTTTTTTTTCATAATTTTATGATGTATAAATAATTATTGGTTAAATATATTAAAGTTGAAGAAACTATGCACAACCATTAGACCTTGTTAATAAATTATTGAAATAACCATGTACCTATATCCATCGATCAAAAGAATTCCATACTTCAAACTCTCTTTCCATTGTTCCATTTTTATGGCACTTTCAAAAGCTAAATCCAATATTTTAACACGGTTAATGTTATTCGGATGAAAAATACCATTTTGTTTCTCTAGACACATTTTACAAACATCAAGATCTAAAATAGTCAATGGAAAATATTCACACTTTTCTTATACAATCAACAATACATAAAATTAGTAAATTAAAAATACAACAGGAAAGTTTATCTATAAAAAGGATACAACCAATATCTTTCATTCTACTTAATTGAAACTCTGTGAAATCAGTTACATCGTAAAAAGTTTTGATTTTATCTTCACTAATTTTTTCCAAACATTTTGAACAACTAATTGAATCCAAAACCTAAAAATTGATTTGTCTGTAAATAGGTTTTTTTTTTCATAAATATTAGATTAATCAAAATAAAACACACCTCTTCTTGTTTGTTTTTCATAGGAACTGCAGCTTGACAATTAGAATTTCCACAAAGCATTGAGTTTACAAAATTTTGTTCATAATTTGTGACACAACGTAAGCATTGACATAAAAAATAATAGTTGTTTTGTAATTCACTTCGTCTTTCTGATGTAGTTTGCATGAGTTCCAAATATGATATAAATACATGCTAAAAAAATGTTTAATATTTATAATTAAAAAGTAATAAATAATACTAATTTGAATTATTGGTTACCAATTCTGGATCAGAATATTCTATATCTGTTACAGCACCAATTCTCAATGTAGTACCATCGAATGTTGCAGTTGCATTAGGTACACATGAATGATTTATAACTGAAGCGGCTAAATATATTCCAGTTCCAATAGTGTTCAAATTATCATCCAAAATATTAAATGCATTAATGCACATCTATAAACAGAAACAATTTATTGATTATTATTTTAAACAAACATACTTTTGAAAATCTATCAGAGCAACAAGCTATGCCCAAGAGTATACCAAATAATTACAGAATAAATAAAAACCACAAAATATAAGAAAAAACACAAACATATTCAAAGTTTAAATAGAAAAAAATGTGAATTAATAATAAATGTACAATTTTAATGAAGTAGAAATAGTGGCTGTATGGTTTTTACTTGGTGGTACTAAGTAAAAATATATACAATACATTTTTTAGCTAGTTTTTTTAATATTTGCTAAACATACAATCACTTATCAGATTAACATATTATACACTATGTTTTTTCCGTCATTTACATTTACAATAAACATTTTGCATTCTACTCACCCGGCCATAAATTCCAAGTAATTCAACAGCATTAGGAAGATTTACTTCACCCATGTATTCTTTTAGCACTTCATATAGTGTAGAGAAATGTTCTAATCGATGGGCATCTTCCTTTAAATCGGGATAATCTAAAATAATATATCTTAATGAGTTATATAATATAATTAAAATACTATGTGAATAATTATATTACGTGACATAAGATCCTTGAATGTTCTTGAACGATTCGACGTGTAATAACCTTTTTCTGTACTTCCTCCATTCTGCATAATATTTTATATTATAAAACAGATATTTATGAGTACTAGATGTACTAACTACTAACAAAATATATTTACTATTTTTGAACATGTATTACAACCTTAAGCTTAATTAGTATTTTAGACATAATCCGTGCAGCATCTGGAAGTATTTTAGGATACATTTTTTTCATTCTAGCACATTCTCGTTTATGCTCAGTCCAGGAAAGCTTCTGGCATGTGCGGTTACAATAAAGGATGTATTGACACCCAGAACATCTAGATAGGTTATCCCTAAAATTAAATCATATAATGATGGGATTATTATAGATATACAAATATGTTATAATATATGATATGAGTATTATTAATTATTATTATAGAATATAGATCAATTGCATAGTCAGTATAGGAGAGGTGCTCAGATAGGGTAGTTCACAGAAAAAGGGTTATCTTGTTTTTTAATAAAATGTTGTCCTATATATTATTAAAAGATACTGTATAATTCTTTAATGTCCTGTAATTTCTTCTAATCCTTATTAAAATAATAAGTAAATATATTAATAATTCAATAGTTTAAAAATTTTTAAAATACAATGATTATCAATTAATAAATAATTTTACCATTACAACTGTTTTAACATAAAATTTTAATGGGGGAATTATATTTATACCCAAATTGAAATTTATATATTTTATAACTTTTGGTGATATCATCCTGGGTCCACACAAAATAGTAAAATTGTAAGCAAAACCTCAACAATGACTATCTAAATTGTTTTTAAACCAAAAAAAAAAAAAAACAGTATTGTTTTAATTTGTTTGTCTCTGTGTGGAACTAACTCTATGTCCAGTAGACATATAATAGATTAAAATACTACAGACTTGTTATGTAGTATCGTTCAAGTTATAGTTTGAAAATTAGTTAATAATTAACATTTTCTATAGAGTTGATAACTACAGGACGGTTGTGAACAACGTTTATTTTGCTTGAGGGAGTGTTAATATGGGAGGAGTAGAATAAGATATTGTAAACATTAATTGTCATGTATTTTTATTTTAGAAATCTGAGCACTCTAGTATAAGGTAATATACTTACTCGGAATAGCAATAATCGCATTTTTCGTTTTTGAAAGTAGACTTTAGTGCGTGAACGAACGGTTTATCAATCAAAATCGTATCGCCTCTTTTATAGCCTTTTCTTTTTTTGTCCATAGTCGATCGACCGGCGTACGTCATGTCCTGCGTATACCTACCGCAGAATAGATAAATCCTTATGTACCTACTAAACAAATGAATATAATAATAATGCAATCTGAATGTCAAGATCGAATAAAAGCAATAATGTTTGAAGTGTACAATGTTACCGACTGTGTTGGGCAACTCGTCAATGGACTTAGTCGGTTCTCGACTCAGTGATCTGTGGTAATACCTATAGGACTAAAATAACAGAATATATTGCTACAGCCACACACCGGACGAGGCGACGACGTCCGACACTCCGACGTCCCCGTACGAAAATAAATATGGATATATAATTATATTATTTATATATACGCGATGAGCGATGATGATGATGATGATAATAATAATCTATAGTTGTAATATTCGGATAGACGCACCGTGGTTTCCTAAAATGCCGAAACTGTGCACCGGCCGATAATACATTTATTATAGTGCAATACATCTTAGGTGGAAAGGTACCTAAGTAAATAACGTTAAACACTTAAACGTTATGTTATTAGTTCCATAACCTATAACGAGGCCCGCCCTTTTTTCGCATCGACTCAAGAGCGACAACTGTCAGATGAATCTCATTATTTCTTTCGTAACAATATTCAATATTATATTTCCTGTTATTATTACTATTACTTGTTACTACTCTATAGATGTCTATTGAGTACATAGTATAATATATTATAGTATTGCGTATAATGTCCGCGGCGCACGTCAACAATTGCAAGCTTTTGACAAGTATCTGTTTGAACGTTTCTGGTGCTATCGGCAGGAGAAAAATGAGCATTATCAATAACGGTGTCGGTATGCATTCTTACGACGTGAGAAAACACAATTTTTATTTTTTACTTAATCTATACATTTATACTTGTATTATTATATTGTATACACCGCAGTGTGGGTAGCACGTGATAGTATATAATAATATATAATATGTATATTTTGTATTTGTCGTATTCGTTCCGGGTACACGATCTCATTATGTATATATATTACATCATTAATATTTAATATGATTGCTCAAATGATAAGTATGACACGGGTGACACCTGTTGGAGACGCTTCACTATAACCACCGCGTCCTTGTGTACATTATAATAATATTTTATCAATATTGTACTACCTTCAATTTTTTTTTTATTTGCGTAGCGGACAACTGTTCGTCCCAAGAATAGGGTTGATGAGTTATGAGCATCTATTATTTTCGAAAGCAGATATAATAATAATATTACTGCGTTTAAATATCAAGTCCTCGAAACTTGTTAAAAGAAAAAAATCTTTAGTTCATTTTGTTATTATTACTTATTATTACACATTTTTATAACTGGTATTTGCTTAAATTTATAATTTTTTCAACAGTTGTAGAATTTGATTTTTGTCCAAGAAATTTTCTCAAAATTTGATGCTTACACCGGACTCGTGTTTCTGATGCCTACAATTTTCCTATTTTCATTAACCTGATGTTAGTTGCATACTTGCATCACATTCTTTTCAACCACGTTATTATTTTCAAGAATAAAAAAACTTTGTTTCATACATTTTCATTCAGACAATGACAGAAAAAATGAAAACGGTTACAAAAAGTTACTCCTTTATGCAAATGGATAATATTTTACAAAATAGGAATATATTTGAGTTTTTAGAGTTGTTTTACAATTTTTAGGTTTACCTATTATGAATAATACCTCATTTCAATCTTAGTATAACCTATATATAAGTAATTAAATAAATTTAGATTATTTTTAATATTGAGTATTAATGATTGAAATGTAAATTGTAAATGTTTTATTCAGGGGCGGACTTTTTGATGGTTGATTACTATTTCTAACATACTGTTGGATATTTGTTATTAATTTGAGGAATATTAAGTGAAATTACTATTATTTTTAACAATTTTATGGATATTTTATTAAGCTCCAAAATTATTTACCATATTTTAACCTAGGTATTGGGAATATAATAAATGGCTCATTTAGATTTAAGAAATCATAGTTGGACTAGGAAAAGACCTAACAACTATTAAGGATGGTTTATACAACTTATTAAATATTAAACTAATATTTATTATATTAATGATATAATTTAAATTAAAAATTCTTACAGGATGCAGTCAAAATGTTAAACTCTTTGCAAAGTTTTACTTCAAATTTAACTCGTCACCCAGGAAATTTGAAATTAGGACAGGTGAACACATTTTTAAATAGGTAATTAGTTAAACCTATTAAAATGTTTCAGTACAATTTAATAGATTTACTATAGGTGTTGGTAGCTAATGTAAATTGTTCTGAAGGCTATAAATGAAAGTAGATGCGGTGTGAGTAATGCAGATTTGGACCAGCTTTCAGTCATTCATGTTGCTGGCACGAAAGGAAAAGGATCCACTTGTGTATTTTGTGAACAATTGTTGTTATATAAAGGTTATCGCACTGGCTTATTTACTTCTCCACATTTAATCTCTGTCAAGGAAAGATTTAGAATTAATGGAAAAGTCATTACTGATGATAAGTTTGTGTTTTATTTTTGGAGTGTTTACAACACACTGTTATTAAAACGAGTAAGTTTTTCTATTTATTTTGTCTAAAAAACTTTTTAAATATTGCTTGTTTATTAATTAAATTTTCTCTCAATTGTAAACAAAAAACTAAACTAAATTATATCTCCCTAATTCATTTTAAATACATTATTTCAATAATATGTTTACGAAAAAAATTGTTTTTATTCTTTTATGGATTAAAGCTTTCTTATTATTTTAGGGTAATAAAGAAGAATTACCAGCTTATTTTATGTTTTTGACTGTCATGGCATTTAAAATGTTTGTCGATGAAAAAGTGGATGTTGCAATCATAGAAACTGGAATTGGTGGCGAATATGATTGTACAAATATATTAAGGTACGTTTCATTTTTCATTAAGTTTCTATGTTTAAAAAAAATTTTTTTGAGAAATAATACTTGAATAATTATAGAAAAACATCAATTGTTGGAATTTCATCACTAGGATTTGATCACACAACTGTACTAGGAAATACTTTACAAGAAATTGCTTGGCAAAAAAGTGGAATTATGAAGCCAAATTCTGTAACAATTGTTGCTAATGATCAACCTAAAGAAACACATAAAATATTAATTGAACGTAGTGTAGAAAAACAGGCAAGTAAATTATGTCCATTATTTCTGCACCTTAACAAACTATCTAGAGTAGTTTTATTTATTCAAATTAACCAACATTTTATAAGCTTTACTGCTATATTAAAAATCTGATATCATTTTCATATTTACTTGGTATAATTTTAGACAACATTATTGGAAGCTCCGCCATTTAACAAGTATAATTGGTATGAAAATACTTCAGAGTTAGGAGTTTTAAATACAGCTCAAGAGATAAATGTTTCACTTGCTATTCAACTTGCTAATGCATGGATCAATCGCAACAATAAATACGGTTAGTACTATATATTTTACATAAAATATGTCAATATTAACCTGTCGTTAGTTGCGTATGTTCAAAATTAAAGCACATTTTTACATCTTGAATAAAACATATACATTTAACACGTTGGTGGACAGTTGCCGATATTACTGCTATAGCAGTAATATTAAATGTTGATGTCAGGGGTCGTTTTTAAAAACCGTCCAAAAAGTGTCATTACTGCTATAGCAGAGATATTTTCAATGGTCTCTTATGAGAAAGGTTTAATCCTGATATTCCATCACCCTTTACAACTATATTAACCCTTAGCAAAGGCGTTTTTTTTATTTACAAATTGTAACCAACATTTGTATTAAAAGTATGTATAACTTATACCCAGTGGCGGCGTGACAAGGGTTTTAGAGACCCGGGTCTCATAGCGATTTATGTGTGTGGATGTAGTGAGTACTGGGTAGATGTCTGGTGTGTGTGGTAATTTTTATTACTTTTCTATGGTGTGTAGTGTGTACCTTATTATTATAAATGTAATCGACACTCGTAATTCGTTAAAACTATTTTGGGGTGGGTTGTCCCTAAAAACATGTGTGGCTCATGAATGAAAAGTTTCACGCCGCCAACTGGTTATACCTCAAAAATTATTGTAAAAAATCCATGTTGCCATATGGCAACGCACAGCGTTAAGGGTGTCGGTGCCGGTCATTTATTAATTATTAAGGAGTACAATTTGGGCAATTAATTCACATGTTGTCTCGGCCTTGCGCGGAACGTGCATGTGTGTGAGAATGTAAATCGATATTAGTGTGAGTGAGCTATAATTACACCCGCTGATACAGATATGTACGCACGTGCATGCACAATTCAATGCTAGACTTTGATGACTATTATCGAAGCACTATTTTGATGAACAAAAATGGTTTTACAGGAAAAACTGTCATGCCTCTTAGATATGTCGCATTTTGGTTAATTTTTTTTATCTGAAAGATAAGAAGTTTCTGCAGGTCGGATCAAAGCTCGAATTTTTATTTTAATTTAAATAGTAGTAGAAAAATACGTTTTAAAAAGGACAAATATTGTGCATTTTTCAAATGCATATTCCAGCTTCTATAATAAGAATAAAAATGTATCTCTTCTAAAAACACTAAATTATATCTCATAATAGGAATAAATCGAGTAGCTATTTATGTAAATTATTTAGTAACCAATAAAACAAAGTTTTTTTGAATTATAAATTGTAATATTGCAAAACTAATTATTTTATTTATGATTATGTGTAGATCAATAAAAAATACTAACTATTATTAATTTGTTGTAGATTGGTTAAAAAAATGCAATGTTGGGTTAAATGGAATGAAACAAGCTCCAATTTGGGAAATTAAAGAACAAGATAAACAAGCATTAAGGGATGTTAAGTGGCTTGGTCGCAATCAAGTTTTAAACGTAACACCCAATTTATCATATTTCTTGGATGGAGCCCATACAATTGAGAGTATTCAGTTATGCAGTAAATGGTACCAAAATATTTGTCCTAAGTCACAATTGTAAGTTAAAATAACAAGTTGTATATAAAATATTTGAAAATATTTAATTTTCCTGGAAAATTATTTTATCACAAAAATATATTATATGAAAAATGTTTTCCCCGAACCGTATTTTATCCGAAAAATTATACATTAAAACCGTATTTTATACAAATAATATGTATACCAAGTATAAAACAACAGAAAATATTTCATTAAAACCATATTTTACCTGAAAATTATCTTAATGAAAATATTTTATCCGAAAGTTAGGTTAATTTTTGAATAAACTACATTTTTGGGACATTTCTAACAATTTATTTTCTGCTGTATCATTTACGGATATAATATTTTTGAATAAAATATTCATGTATTTTACATTTTAGATTCTGAGTGGAACGATGAATGTATTGATTTTACAATGATGTGTTTTTTTTTTTTAATTTTTGTGTCTGTCATCACGGTTTAGGGCAGTAAAACTGCTTCTATTTTCTTTAACTTTATCTTATTCGATGGAAAAGTGAATCTAGTTGGTACATTTGGGAGGTCAAATTTTAAAATTCCAAATAGTTTTCAAAAGCTCAAAATAGTTTTTGGTTTAACTCTAAAACAAATGATCGTATATACATGAAATGTTCAATGGTAGTTTATATTTTCACTTTCTATACACTATAATATTTTCAAAACATTTTGATTTGTTTTGAACTGTTTAAGAACATTTCGAGTTTCAAATTGTATTAGTCTTTTTTTCTATGAATGTCAATAAAACTTTATTTGTTGGGCAAAAAAGCTTGAAAATTTAATTCTAGGCTCCTACTATATTGTTACAATAGCAGTTACAATAGGCTGACTGACCGTTTTCGCTCTGAGTTGTTTTTCTTATACAATGATATTATATCATTGAATTCAAACTTAACACTATCCATTACACATTACAGTGACCCACTTGTAACCTACTGTACAGCAGAGTGACTTTTTATTTTTGTATAAAATAGTTTTTGAATAAGATACTTTTTTATTAAAATATTTTTCGTAAATATATTTTTGAATAAAATAACTTTAACAGAACTACTAATGATTTTTTGTTGTATTCAAAAACATTTATGTTTATATTTTAAACATACCAAATTTTTGGGATTGTATTAAATAACATTATGAAGGAATACAAAAATTAAGTTTATAATTTTATTTTTATTTTCAGGAATACACAAAATATTTTAATATTCAATGTAACGGCATTAAGAGATTACTGTACGTTTTTAAAAATAATATTAACTGAAAACAAAATAGATTTAGTTTTGATATGTCCAATAATTACATCAATTGATAATCGCCGTCCAGGTAATTAACCTAACGATCTTCAATCATAATATTTATAATGGGTTGGCATAAGTATAAAATAATAACATTTGCTATATTTGTTTGTAATAGTCTGGCCAATAGCTTAGCTTAGTGATTGTGTCAATACCCACAACCAAATTCACTTTATTCTTATTATATTTTGATACTCTAGTGCTGGGTCGCATTAACAATCACTTTATATCCAATGAACCATTTATGCACGATTGGTTAATTTACCTTTTAAATTAATCTATTTTTATGCAAACCATCATTATAGTATTTCAATAGGAATTTATTATTTCTTATTGTTAAGTAATACATACATTTTATTTTATTTTCGTACATTCAAAATGCATATAGGTATTAGCCATTAGGTATACTAAAATTTAAAACATGCTTTGATGACTCACTTATATTTTTGTTATTATTATTATTATCATAATTGTTTTTTTTTCAGATACTGTTAATTTGAATTTCAATTATGAAGAAGAACTAGTCAAATGTTATAATATGAAAAATTCTATAGATTTTTGTGATGTAAAAGTATTTAATTCTATCCAAGAAACTATCAAACATGTTGAAAAGTGCAGTTCTTCTGACAAAACTACAAACTATCAAGTTTTAGTAACTGGCTCATTAAAACTTGTTGGTGGAGTTTTAGAGGTCCTTCAATCATGACATTTGTTTTATAAATATACCAATTCTATAGAATATTAGTTATTATTAATGATACAAATTAATCATATTCTATTTAGTGTAACGGTACTATTCAATCATTGGTGGGAATACTTAAATATTTACTATTCCTAGAGTTTTTAATAAACAGTAGTATCTTAATTAATTTGAAAATCAGTAACAGTTCTTTTTGTGAATCATGGTAAATATGAGGCCATAATATATTGCATTTAAATATTCACACCAAATCACAGACTAAGGTTACTTTTCCAATTAATTAACATACTTAACCTTTTTAGGTCTATCTTTTTATATTATATTTTGTCTATTGTCTTGTGAAATTAATATGTTTTATATATATATATCCAATTATATCAATTTATAAATGCTCAAGTATATTTTAACTTTTTGTTACCTTTTAAAAATAATTTTGATCACAATCATTGTATTTTAAAAAAAAAATTGGTACATGTAAATATAAATATTTAATTTAAAATTTAAATAGTTTTTTTTTTATTTAATTTTTATATGTATATATTATAATGTGATTCTATAATCAGTAACTTATAATTGATGTACACAATACACAATTTGTAAATAACTTTTTTGACACTACTGATACACATGCCAAATTTCAATCAATAAAAAATTATTGAAATGTGATTTGCTAGCCAAAAGCTCAATACGGATCTTTTCTGTTATATGTATACCATTTCCTACTTCACGGGACACCCCTTTTTTGGGGGGACGTCATTAGAGTGAATATTCGTTATACAATTAAGGTTGTTATTAAGAGTGGATATGCTGCAGTTACCCTGTGACCAACTTGAGGTGGTGTTGCATAATCCGTCGAGAGATAATTTTGATTTTTTTTGTCCAAGCGCAGCACAACGTGGGCATCACTGACGCGATCAAAGACATATAATTGAAAAGATCCCCCAAAACACATGTATTTAGTTTTAGATTTTGATAGAAGTTATGTTAAACTATTATCTATTGATTGAAAATTGGTATTTACAACATCCAAAACGTGTTAATTTAATGTATTGTCAGTGGAGCTAACCACTATTTGCACAGAATTGTACTTTCACATCTCAGTTACAACTAACTTAAAATATATTTTGGCACTGGCAGCTGTCACTTTTGTAAATATTAATTAAGGTTGCCGAAATTACTAGTATTCTTGCAATCAATGTCTCAACAAAGCAATTGAATGTTTAACAAATTACCATAATATCACAACCGATATCCACTTCAGCACACCCACTTAGCCATTTTACTTTTCTGAAAATGGATTTTTCTATATATGTAACTTAAGTAACTAGCTACACATATAACTCAATACCTAATAATTCTTAACAGTATGGAGTATGTACATTGTAAAGAAATTGATTCTCTATGAGTGTAAAATAATCCTGTTAGATTATCCTAGCCATATTTGTTGAATTCACATATTACCTTTAACTTATGACATAGTTTGTCTGTATATAAAAAAAAAACTCAATAAAATATAAAATAAGTTAAAAACAATTGCTGAATTGCATGTTAACCAAAATTTAATTTAAAAAAACTGTTATTATTCAAACAAATAGGTGGGTACAGTTGAACTACACAAAGATAAAAAAGGAAATTGTACGGTCAAATAGTTTTATACATACAAATTTACAATTAGTGAAAAGATACGTTTATATGTATTTTAACATTCGTCTTCTTTAGGTTCATCGATTTTGTTCTCGTGCTTATGAAGTTGATGTGTTTTTTTATTCCCCACGCAACTGGCACATTCATCGTCACTTTCATTGCTTTCGTCTGTATCAGGATCTCCAAATTTTTTTGGTTTTTTGTAAATACAACAACATTTGCTCTTTTTCTTGTTCAAGTGCTCATTGTCAACAGTGTGTGCATCCCAACTAACCTGTTTGTGGCTCTTTTTTGGTTTCTTTAATTTTAAATGCACTACTTGGCCATCATTTGCTTGTGGGCGTAACACCAATGTTGTACTACTATTTAATGGTACATTAGTTTCTTCCATTTAATTTAGTTATTCAAGTTTTAAGAAATTATTAAATGGTTAGTTGATTAATTTTATATGTGGCTAGTTAATAACACAACCATGAATTAACAATAATTAACATAACTACTTAATAAAATACGATAATGAAGTTTTAAAAACGTTTGCATAACGCATATAAACAAGACTGACAGTTTTGAGATATTAAACTATAATATAATATTATTATTTAGATTATTATTTATTATCTAATAGGAATAGATCATCTGATAATTATTATTGTTATAATAATATGCTGTTGGCATAGATAATACATATTATACATTTTCTATGGCAGTTTTTTATATAAACAAAAATAGGACGTTATAAAACAACGTTATCACTGCTTATTAGCTTTGAGTGCTTTGACGTCAAAGTTTTTTTGATCCACCTTGCCTTCATGTAGTTTAAACTTTTAAAAATAAGTCTTGTTGTTTAATGCATAGTAATATAGTTTTAATGAAAAATATGGTTCATAGAAATTATAGATCTGATATTAATTTTCCCGAAAACTAATTTCACGTTTTTTGCGGCCCTCCGCGCCGTGGCATAGGGTACAATAAATTTTTCATTTAATCTGTGAAATCAAAATCGATCTATAAACGAATCGTTTACGAAAAATCGATTTTTCAAACATCAATCTGAAAAAATTGGAATTTATTTTGATGTGTAAACTTTGCCAAAACAACGACATTTATACAGAAAATTGTATAGAGAAAACATAGAAGTTACCTGATTTCGACGCATTCCCAATTTTTATTTCATATAATATTATACTATACGACTTTAAAAGTTTGTTTACTTTAACTGAACATGACAAATAATATTTCTTCACTTCCTGTATCAAAAGTTTTTTTACGTTATATTTAAACTTTTAAAATATTATAAAATAATAATTTAAAAAAATATACAATTTTAATTTTATAATTATTTATGAAATACATATCAACGTTTGACGTTTTTCACTCTTTTTATTTTGTCATGTTTCCACACAGATTTCTATTTAGTGTAGTAATGTAGTATGGAAGTCTGTGTTTCATACACTATTTGATAATTATTTGTCATTGAAAATGGTTACAATATACAAGACATAATAATAATATTATTTTAGTTACGGGAATAGAACAATATTATATAGTTCAATAAAAAAATAACCCAAATACGGTTTTAAGTTCCGTGTCGACATTTTAGGTCATAAGGCCTCGTTCACACGATCAAATAATTTGTCAAATATTTGATGTACGTCAAACTTCAAATATTTTATAAATAGTTTATTAGTCTATAGGCTATAAAAGTGTAAAGATAATCTTTAGCACACAACCATAGAGTAATTAACACTATGAATTCACGATGTAGATAATATGACATATTATATTGTATATAATGTATACAATTATTGTATATTATATTATATTATACATCGTGCCATCTTGGTGGATTTCAACATAGATAAGAATATTATACATAGGTACACTTTGGTCGATGGTGGTATGAGTGGTCGACGCTCCACAGTCCTGAGAACCAACCAAATCGTTATCACCGTTTCCTGTATGAAACCCTTTACTTCATTATTCAACCAGCAAGTTTTTATAGATAAAAAGTTTTTGTCATTTCGTTTTGACTTGTGGACACCGCAACCCGTGGCTTTTCATCATTCTAAATTCTTAAATTATCTATTTTTTTAACGAAATTAGGAATCGAACGTTCCATTTTCATTGTCTCAAATAAGCACGTTAATAATATTTGCTTTTAACTATTCTCACATATCATCGATTTGATTATTGCTCTGCAATATAGTAAAGTTTGGTCTTTAACGATTAAACGGTTATATAATGGCAGTATCGGCAGCTGCTGCGTTACTCGATGAACTTATGGGGAGAAACCGGAACGACGGTCCGAACGCTCAAAAGAAACCTGTACATTGGGAAGATCCTGAGGTAAATTATTTTGGTTAACCACGACTCGTTGCTATGTCAACACAAATATCTTTTTTTTGCTAAACATTTAAACAAATTAGGTATTTATTGAATAAAACTAAAATAGTTTTGTGATGTTCTATTGTTCTAATGATAAAATAATATTGTAAGATTGCAGTAATATTTTATACAATTTTGAAAACGATAATTGGACGTTAGCATTAGTTATTTTAAAAAAAAACTGGACATTATTCCAAGCCTGGGCATAAACGAGTTAAAATGTTTAAGTTCAGTTAATTTTAAAATGTAATACTCATTAACTTAATTTTTTAACTCAACTGATTTTTATTGATATACATATTGCATAAGCATTTAATTTTTCATTATTTTAAACCATATTACTGGCCATTTATATATATTAATACTTGAGTTAAATTATTAATTAGTAATTTATAGAACTTATGAATCCCGAGCGGGTTTTCGCTTGAATTTTACTAGGTACTCATATATTTATCACTTACTTACAAGTTTGTTTTCGATAAATAATGTTTTAGTTCATTGTTTTTGATACCTGAATTATACATTTGAATAATTGAGCTGTAGACTAATATAAGAAAATCCCATTTCCGGAAATATTGTTACCTATTAGTTTTTAGATATATTATTTCACAATAGTTAACCAAATTATCCTTCTTCTTAAAATATAACAATTTATTTATTTATATTTTTTGTTTTCAGTTTTGTAAATACTTTATGGTTAAATTTTGTCCTCACGATCTATTTGTCAACACCCGTGCTGATCTTGGAGCTTGCCCAAAGGTTCACTGCGAAGAGGCTAAAACACAATATAATGAAGCTAGTAGCCGTTCCAAAATACAATATGAAGATGAATTTGTGGCATTTGCTACTAGTTTATTAAATGATGTTGAGCGCCGCATCGAAAAAGGGAAACAAAGGTTGGAGCTTATGAATAAAACTGAAACGGTTAGTATTCCAAATCTATTTTATAATTAATTAGGTAACATTACATTTTTTTTATGTAAGTTCTTATATATTAAAAATAACCTATTTACAGTCATTGTTTATAATAATAAACAGTACAAAAATGAAATCAATAATTTCATTTGGCCTATAAAGTTGTTAGCGTATTCTATAGGTAATTAAAAAAAGGCAGATTGTGATCGGATGCTGTATTGTTGATCATGGATGCGGCGCTTACAGCCTCGAATCTTAAACACGTCAAAGGTTTTTGAGGTACATCATTAAATAATTCCCCCCCTTTATATTTTAATTATTAAAGTAATAAATAAGTTTAGATTTTAGCTTCAATTGTGTAAATATGTGGGTGATAAGTCTTAAATTTGTATTGTAAATTGTAATATGGTAGTGTGTTTTTAATGTATACTATTGTTATACTTAAATAACTGTATTTAAAATTTTTTCTGTATTAGGTAATTTTTAACTTCTTTTAAATTCTTCAAACTAATAGAAATATGTCAATTATTTTAAGATTTAAACTCATTGATTCTAAACATTTTAATGCATAATTTAATAAGTATAAATTATGATGTTAATGACTAATGAATAATGACAAATATTTTATTAATAATAATATGTAATTATACATTTTGTTTTAAAAATTCTAAAATCTATATCAATTCATTAATTATCTTAATTGATATGTATATCTTATATATTATATGATGAGTATTTAAAAAAATGATTGGCTATGGCCAGTGGCTGCTCGTGGGAGTGCGACTTTAAAAATAATAGCGGTAGCCATAGGTATAACAAATTACCAAATTAAATATAATAACATGAAACACAATACACATAATTTTATTTTAAAGCTTAATATTAATTTATTTAAAAAATTATCATAGTATATTATTGTGTATGTTGACTACAAGACAAGAGTGTATGACGAAAATATACATCCTACTAGTCGCAGGTTGCAGTAGAAAATGAAAATAATAATAATAGCGATTAGCAACCGACAATGCTGTTAATTTTAAAAATAAATTACCCAATATAGTAATAAATTAATATTTTACTGTATGGACGACGCTGCCGGTTGTCCAAACCCATATATAACATCGCAGATTAAACAATAAACTTACCCGTACCCCCACAATTGCTGTGCCTCACTTATAAGCAGGGCTCGGGACTTAAAGCACTTAAAATCATTAAAATAAGCACTTAAAAACATCATTATAAGCACTCAAATAAGCATTTAAAAAACTTAAATTTAAGCAAAAATATTTATTAAAAAAAAAAACAATAAAATAAAAATAAAAATTTATCTTTATATTATAAAAAAAATTAAACTTCATTTTCAGGACTGAGGATTTTATGGATTTTCCATGGGATTTTCTGAAAAATAAAATGTAAACAATATTTACAAATAGTTGAAAAAAAATAATTTTTTAATAAATTTTAATAAATTTTTTTATTTAAATTATTTTTAATTTTAATTCTATCAAAAACAACTTTGCAGTAGAAAACCATAAAAAAGTATGAAAACTGGTCAAAAAAGCAATAAATATCATAAAAACTTGAAATAAGCATTTTTTTGAAAAATCACTGAAAAAAGCAAAAAAAAGCACTCTCAAATTTCATAATTGAATGTGTTGTAACATGATATACACTTCTATAGTACTCTGCTACATTTTATGTCAATCTAAAAAATAAGCAAATGCTTTAAGTCCCGAGCCCTGCTTATAAGTTATTAAATACAAATTCAGAATATTGCTTATACGACGCTGCTAGTCGTCCAATACCCGCATATAAGAACGTAGCTTAAATGTACCCGCACGCACACAATTGCAGCGCCTCGCTTATACGTGCGTATTCAGAATATTGCTCGGATGTCGCTGCTGGTCGTACAAACACTGCTCGTGTGTACATGCATACCTATATGCTCCTAGTATCTGAGAGCAACAAATTTAATGTTCGCACACAACAAATGTATTATAATTTATAACTATTTTACTATTAAAAAATTTTCATTTTTAATAAAAAATATTTCTTAAGTGTAGAATTAAGAATAATATACAATTAATTTTAGTAGGGGTTGCGATCGTCCCGTCGTCCAAACCACTAGCCCGCCACTGGCTATGGCTAATAATAAAATCATAGAATCTTAATTATTAAAAAAAGTTTTAGACAATTTTAGTTTGGTTACTGTAGGATTTTTATTATTTATCTAATATTGGTTATAACTTTTAAGAAATATCACATGATTTTAAGTTTAGACTTCTTATTAATCAATTTGATATAATAATAGCTTTTGGGAAATATAATTTGATTAACATTAGTTAATAACAATATAATTAAATAACATTTTGATTTAATATTTTGTAGCCGGTGTCCCATTCTAATAGCCAAAGTCAGAAAAACCAAGAGCAAATTAAATTATTGTCAGAAAAAATTAATGGGTTAGTGCAAGAAGCTGAACAAATGGGTACACGTGGTCATGTTGAAGAAGCTCAGGGACTTATGAAGCTTTGCGATCAATTAAAAGAAGAACGTGATACATTAAGAAAGCAAAATGAAAGCATTCATTGGTCACAAGTAATTATTTTATAAAGAATAAAATTATATGCTCAATATTTCATATTATTTAATAATTACATTTTTATTTTAGACATATGAACTAGCTGCTGCTCAAGAAAAACAAATGGAAGTATGTGAAGTTTGTGGAGCTTTTTTAATTGTTGGCGATGCTCAGTCCCGTATTGATGATCATTTGATGGGAAAACAACATATGGGTTATGCTCGATTAAAAAATGCAGTGAATGAAATACAGGAGCAAAGGAAAAAATATCTAGAGGAAAGAGAAAAACTACGTGAAGAAGAAAGAAAAAAACGCATGGACCGTACTAGGTATTTTATTTCACATCTAAAAGGTTAGAATCTCAACTATACTCTGATTTTTATTTGATACAGGAGTAATTCTAAAGACGTTGACAGACATAGTCGTAATGCTAACAATGACAAGAGATCTAAAAGCTCTAGAGACCGATCCCATCATAGAATTGATAGGTAATATAGGATATGTTCAAAAGAAAAAAAATTGTTTATTTTATTTAATCATCTAGTATATCAATAAAAAAAATAATTTCACAGAAAATCTGAACGACATGAAAGAGAAAGACGGAGAAGTAGAAGCCGCAGTGATCGTCGTTCTTCCAATAGTCATAGGCATAGAGGTAAATTTGTTTTATATAGTTACTAAATCAAATAAATTTATACCTTTATATTTTTTAAATATAGGGCACAATGGCAACAGTCGGAGAGATCACTAGAATTTTATTCAAGACACGTTTCATTCATTAATTCAGGTAAATATTTACTATATTATCGTATTAAAGCATATTTAGAATTGATTTTTAAAAACGCAATGCTATTGATGAGGTGTGTAATTTAAAACAAGAACGGGGTTAAGCCTATAATTATGTTAATTTTAAAATAAAAACAAAAGAAAAAAACATCCATAAAAAAATATTTGAATGATAACAAAATCCTGTTACAACTATGGTGTAAATTATCACATAGCAGAAGAAAATGGTCATATTGGGCGCTTTATTTCAAAAAAGTGCTTATCATCATTCGAAAGTCTGCAGATCTTCAAAAATTACATGTGACTTTTTGTCAGGTATTTATATAAAACGAGGTATTTATAAAAAATAAAATATCTGAAGTAAATAAATACAATGAAATGTGTTAATATATATAAAAAAAAAACTTATTTAGGTGAAGTTTTACTCTATGTTGTTACATTGCAATTTTTAATATTAAATTATTTTGTTTTATGGCAGATCTCACAATATAAACCGGTATACTTTAATTTAAATAATTTTTTGTTTATTTTATTAATAAATCAAATACCATTATATGGATTGGTTAAAAATTGCCTATGGTACCTAAGGAAGTTATTAATATTTATAAAAAAAGGTTTATACATTTGAGAAATAATATTGCTATTTATCAAAATACCAGTAGGTAGTATTTATTTCAAATTAACTTTATTTTTATTTTTGTTCTATGGAAAATTCATTGAATAAGTATTAATTGTATCAAATATAATTTTAAGATTTTTTATGATATGAACATAAATATATAACACAAGCATGATACACCGTTATTTATACTACATTAGTATTGGGTTATAATTTATGAATATTTTGTTGATGGTATGTTTTTTTTACAACGAATAAAAATATGTATACATTTGTTTTCAAATAATAATTTTTTTATGAAAATAGTAATATTATAATATGCTCTAAACATATAATAATTATTAACTTATAAGAATAATTGCTTTACGTATTTTTACTTAAGAAATATTTTTACGATTTTTTTTTTTTTTTTTAGGTTCAAATATCTGATGCAGTGTATAATGTTAAAATGTATAAACACAAAATACCATTCTAAAAAAAAAAAACTTAGAGTTAGCAGGTAACAATTCAATGAAAACAATTATGATACTTATTTTAATATTTTATTTAATGAAATAAACAACTTTCATATATATAAAAAAAAAATGTTATTGTGCTTATAATTAAAAAACATATTTTACTAATTTACATTATGTCAAATTTAAACAATTAATACTTAATAAAATACACATTATTTGTCAAAATGTCAACTAAGTAACGCTGTCAGGGCATCAAAAAACTTTGGTCGATCTTTAGTTTGCATTTTTGCAATAGATGAATCGAAGTAATCCAATGAAACTTCAATATTCGTTTTGTTGGAAACTTGTTCAAATGCTTTTCCAAAAAAACTAAAACATTTAAATTATATTACACTTTAGATTGAAAACTGTTTACATACTTTAATATTATATTAGTAATTAATAAATTGAAATTATAAAACAAAGGTTTTTCTTTTATATCATCCTCAAATACAAATGAAATGATTAATTGTGATGCATAATATACAGACTATTCACTGTGTCTACCCTCACAACTACCCCAATTTGGTTGATATACATTAAAAAATATTATATTACTACAAATGGTCACCTGGGGGCATCTTTATATGGAGCCGTGGCAGAGTGATAACAAACAAATACCTATATTTGTATGATAATATTTTTACAAACTTTATATTAAATGGCATAATAACTAGAAATAAAAATATAATTTAACTGACCTTCTAGGCATTGACTCGGTGATAGGAGGGATACCAACTACTAAACATGTATCTTGATCTGAATCTAGAGTTGCTGAAGCAATTAATGGCAAACGAGTAGCTTTGATTTTTCTTGATGAAGCTACTTGAGCTCTTAGCGCAAATGATGCTAACATAATTAAGCAGTGAGGATTGGAATAGTGCTGAGAATGCAATGTACCCTATGAAACACAAGTTTAATAATATACTTTTTATAACACTAAAATAATTGTGAAGTCAACTATCATAATTTAATAGTGTAATACCTCTTGTACAATTAAATAGTAAAACGGCCCAGCTAATATGACTTGTCTCATGTCTAATGCTGCCTGGACATGCCTAAACATGTTGGACAATATCCACTTGGCTTTTTCTATTCCTTGGTCTAAAAAATCTTTTTTTGATCTAACACAATTCAATTTATAGTTATTTTTTATTTAGAAATACATTGTTAATTAATTAATTTCTGTCTCTTACCTGGACAACGAATCCATTGTGTTATAAAAACACTGGGTAGGGGAACTTTCACGAGACTACATGAGAAAACGGAAATATGCAAAATAAAAATCAAAGTGTAAATTATACAAACTTGACAAACTTACATTGGTTTCTAATGTAGCAACCATTGAATAAACATAGTCAGCACATTGATACCTCGTTTTAAATCCTTGATGTAGCATAAACGAAGGATAAGTCATTTGTAATAAGTTATGGGTATTGGAAATTTTTTCCATCATACCATAAAATTGTTTACGTAAACTTAAATCCATTGAATGGTACATTTGACGACTTTCTGCTAAAGGTAACCTTAAATGTAATAAGATAATGATAACCCAAAATGTACTCAAAAATAAAACAATGACGAGGACTGGGTTGGAGGTGATCTGTAATGCCTAAAATCCTGCTTCTACGTTGATGTTTTGTCAGGAGTGTTTATTGTGAGAGAAGAACACATTGGGTTATTGTGGCCGAACTTAGAGATACCATATAAATGTTCAATAGGTTTATCACAGTAAAAAGTAGTTTAAAGCGTATTGATGACAGTAGCGATCAAAATAAAATAAACTAAACAAAAGTTATCTCGAGACCGTCGTGGTATTGTATCAAAAAAAAAAAATGTACATTGATGATTAGATAGATGTGAGGTGTTTTTATTTGAATGTCGTGAATCAGAGAGGTGTATTTTAGTCACCACTAGACAGTATGTTCAGCTGGCTTGGTCATTCATCTCGCATCTCCAATGGTCGGGTAAGGTTGGAAGTTAAGCATGTCGCCCTGTCTGTGCGCCATCGAGGCGGTTACCAAAAGTAAGCATTAGCGATACACTATCGTGCTTATACAGTTATACTATTTATACCAAGTATTCGCCAGTGGTTTATTAATGGGGGTTATTTAAAGGATTATAAAATTGATTAGAAATATAACTAATGGCTTTGTGTGAACCCCACTCCATAAAAATTCCTAAATTCTCCAATGGTACTCACAACTGATGTAGACAGAGTATATTATAATGCAAAAACGCTGACAATCCAATATACAAGCTTAAATGATAATGATTTGTCTTTACCCCATTTCTGCTAATATTTGTTTTAGTCTTTTTTCCCCTTTAATCGTCCAAAGTTTCAAAGATACTGCTGTAAACATTGAATATCGAAGACTGCATTCAATTGTCCAATGTCTGTATAGAGCCAATAGTAGACTGAAATTTGGTAATTAATTAATTAATTATATTTTAATAATATTTACTTAACTAAAATAGTTTACTCTTTTTCGGATTCAATTCGAAGATGTGTAGAAGTGTTTGAGGGTTTAGGCATTGAAGATTGTGACATATTATCTTCATCATCATTAATAGCTGTAGAATCACAAATACGACCAATGTGACCGGCTATCAATTCTACTTCTCTAAGGTAACGCATACGTTCTGTCTTGCCCAAGATGTATTGTTCAGTCACACCAACAATTCCCCACCTGATAAAAATGGAAAATTCATAAATCATTAAATATTAAAGATGGAAAAATCTCTAAATAAATTATTTACCACAATAAATCAACAGATTCTCTGTGTAATTTCCAAGCAAGATCAAACATTAACATTGCAGCCTATAAATTAAAAATGCATATTATTATAGAGTGAGAAAACATTTTAGAACATTGTAATATACATACCGAACGCCCATAGTATGAAAATTGAGTGTAATCAAATAACAATTTTTTTCTATTTTCTTCCCATCTTCTTCTTTCCCTTCTTTTAACTAGTGTACTTTGATCAAGTTTTCTTCTTTTGTTTTGTTGTTCTTCAACGCTATTGGCATTAACATTAACAGTATCAGATTCTTCTTCATCCAGTTCATCGGAATCGACATCTTCATCTGATGACTAAATATATAAAAAATTTGTAGTATTACTCTTACAAATAGATGAAAAATAATTACTTCATTTTCATTGAAAATGTCTTCAAAATCAGGAATTTTTTCCTCATCGTCAGGGGGGGTTAGTACTCTAACCTGAAATACAATACAATACATGGTTTTAAAATATAGTTTTAAGTGTTTGTAACATGAAGATTCACAAGCAATCAAATACCTGAGAACTACTATAAATGTTGCATATATCTGTAGGTCTATGACTGTCAACAACAAAAAAAGTAATATTTTCCTCTGGTTCTAATATTTCTATTATATCTAATGTACCACCACAATTGATTAATACAACATACTTTACCTAAAAATATTTAATATTTAAACATGGAAAATCTCGAACAAAAATAATAATATTGAAGTGCTTACATCGACTTTTTGCTCTTCAAAAGCTTTTTTTAACTCTGTAACAGTTTTTACCGGTACAAGCACATAAACTATATTATCAAAACGTAATATGCACTGAAGTATTTTCACAGCACAAATTGCATCCACATCATAGTTAACCAAAATCAAAATTTTCTATAAATTAAAAAAAAGAAATGTATGCGATTTAAAGAAACAATTTAGGTTTAATTTAGAATATAGATAGACAGATACTAATTTATAATTTTTAACAATATATTATATATTTATACTTACATTTTTTGAAATTATGTCATAAAATCCTTTGACTAAATCTTCAACAAACATCTTTGAATAATTATTGTAGAAATCCTTTGAAATCAAAACAGTAAGTATTTATTTTTTAATAATAACATTAAATTATTTGTACAAAAAATTGACTGTTTAATTAAAATACATTTAGGGCTGTTCTTACAATGTCCGTTAAAATTTCGTTTAAGGCTAACCGACTGATAACAGATTTTTTTACCGGCAGAATTCGGCCGGTTAAGTGTCGGTTAACTTTAACCGGACATTGTAAGAACGGCCCTTAGTCATGAAGCCAAAATATATTCTGTTGAAATATAAAAAAAATAGATTCATCCATAGTTTATTCTGTTATAGAAAAATCAAAACTTTTCAGTGATTTGGCAATAATTGGCTGTCGACCAAAATTTTGATTTTGTTTTCGTACTTAGAACTATCCTTTTTTTTTATTTGTTATTACTTTTTTACAAAACATGAGGTGCACATAGGTATTTGTTAATTATAATTAATAATAAATGAACTACTATTTTTGAAACAAAAAATTGATTTGGATGAATATAAAATATAAAAAAAGGTGGGTAAGTGGATGTCGCTCTGCTGTACAGTAGGTTACAAGTGGGTCACTGTATAATGGATGCTATTAAATTTGAATTCAATGATTCAATATCATTGTATAAGAAAAACGATTCTGAGCGAAGACGGTATATCAGTCTAGGTTTAAGACAAATTATATACATATCTATGGTATTAAAAAAAAAATTGACCTAAAATAAATTCCAAATTAATCATATCACAATATCCATTAGGTACTTATAACACGTTATACACCAACAACAAACCCTGATACTATCATATATATATAATAGTACACTAGAAGTTTCAAGTAGGTACCCACGAATAATATTATATAATCACAACAAAATAACTAGGTTTTTTAATATGTAATTTCGTCCAAATTTGAACATAAAATGACTATAAAAGTAAACTGTGATTGTATATTTTTTAGATTTTTCGGTAAGAGAATTAACTACTTACGTGGAATCTTGTTTTAAATTTTCAATCCTTAGCTATAAAAACTGAACATTTTATAATTTATTAATTACGATAATTAATAATTTTCGAGATTTTGAAAAATTCTATCAAAATTTGATGTTAAAATGCTTATAAAAAAAAATTGTGCCTATGTATTTTTAATATTTTTCAACTGATATTGTAACAATATATCAGGAGCCTTGTATTAAATTTTTACACTTTTTGGCCCAACAGATAAAACTTAATTGATATTTATAGAAAAAAAAAACTAAAAAAATTGAAAACTGAAAATGTCCGTAAACAGCTCAAAAAGAGTCAAAATATTTTCAAAATTGTATGGTGTATAGGAAATGCTAATATAAACATTCAGTGAAATTTCCATGTATCTACAGTAATTCGTTTTTTAATTACAACAAAAAAAGGAAATTGCCACATGAGAAATCGAGTGAATATCCAATGTTGTAAAAATTTGAATTTCAAACGCTCATAAAAATTTAATTTGACTTTCCGGTAGAGATTTTTTTATTGATAAAGGTAGACAATCTTATGAGTAATCTTGTATTAGATTTTCAAATCTTAGATTTAAAAAGAAAAATTTTTACGAATTCTTAACTCAAAATAATTTGCTAATTTTCGTGATTTTTCCATATTTTGTCAATTTTTGAACTTTAAATGCTTATAAAAAAAAATTGTGACTAAGGATTTTTAATATTTTTCATCTGCCTTTGAAACAACATATTAGGAGCCTTCTATTAAATTTTCAAGCTTTCGCAACCAACAAATAAAATTTTATTGAAATTTTTAGAAAAAAAACTAAAAAAAAATGGAAAATGAAAATGTCCCTAAACAGTTCAAAATAAATCAAAATATTTTGAAAATGTTATCGTGTATAGAAAATGCAAATATAAACAACCAGTGAAAATTTCATGTATATACGTTCATTTGTTTTAGAGTTACACCAATAACCAAAATCGATTTTTTGGAAAATCAATTTTGCGTAAAAATTCCCGTTTTTCCTTAATTTTTATGTTGTTTTTCCCGGCGCTTGTGAAAACTACTGGGAAATTTAAATTTTGACCTCCCCAATGCACCAACGATATTCACTTTCCAATCGAACAAGATACTGAAGTCGAAAATCGAAGCATTATTTCGACTACTTATCGTGTACACAGATACAAAAAAAATAAAAAAATAAAAAATAAAAAAAATAAAAAAATAAAAAAACACACATCATTGTAAAATCAATACCTTCATCGTTTCACTCAGAATCTAAAATGTACAGGTACAAATGTTTGTATGAAGGAGACGTTAATTTATCAATTAAATTTATTATTAGAGTAAAAATATAGTTAATACTCACGTTTTTTTGATTACACAAAAATTCACCTATGTAGGAAACATAGACCGATGAGTTCCCGAGTGTTTTTTATTCTGTTCTATAGTCGATCGCCATAAACGTTCAATATTTTGTGTGTGTGCTCCACTAATCGGATCTGCAAAATTATACTCGTGATTGACTTGAATTTTGAAATAAATAGGTATTAAACAGATAGGACTATGATAACCTAAAAGTACCGGAACATCTTTTATAAACAAAACCACATTATGTGCATAATATCGGACGCCGTTTTGGCTGAAGGACAGAAGGGTTAGTCGCTTGGCTGTTAATATTTTGATAAAACTATTAAATTTGAATAGTTTGTTTATAAGTGATCTTTTTTTTTTTACTACAAGCATAATTGATGAGTTCTTGCTTAGTCTAATACAATTAGGTTTATTTTTTTTTTACTGAAATAACTTTAAAAAAAAAGATAAAGCAGATAGGTATCATTTTAATCAGAGTGTCTTGACATAATATGCTCAAGGAAAAATCCTAGTAATGTGCTCAGGCTCCTCAAAGTTTTTAATTTTACGTTTTCGGGTACTTCTGATTTAGTGAAATATATTTTAAATTGAAATTATTTTGGATCAATATTTTTAAGTATTAATTTTAATCTGTCCCAAGTTTGTTTTGTAAAATACTGGAATTTTTTAACAATTAATTTCAAATATTGTTATATTTAGTTCAACGTAATTAAGATAATTGAAAATGATAATTTTAGGTATGAACAATTATTGTTCAAGAATATTATAATTTATTTTCTACATATCTGAGTGGATATCTAAATATCAGTTTAAATTATAAATTGAAAACATGATAGCAATGTAATATAAGTACCTATGGGCAGTACATAAATAAATACCTATATAAAATATAAAAACTTTTTTTAAAATATTTTCTTCTGATTTTTTAATTGGATTTTATATTTTTATACACAACACAATTCAAATTGGACAGCTACCTTCTCAACGACGTTTCTCAGTTTCTTCTAAGTATATCATCACATAATAAAGCAAAAGCGCCAATATCAATAGGAAAAACTCGTCTTTATTTCGATGGATGATGTTCAACAACAGCATCGTTCATTCGCATCTGATCGTGAAAATATAGACGACCATCCAGACCGAGGTGTTGGTAATTTAAAATCGGTACAGTATGTCGTTTCGGTCACAATAATACTATTTAACAGTTACACACAATAATGAACAAATAAAAAACACTATATAAACCGATAATGATTGACAAACTGGGGATGGACGAGTGACAAACCGACACTGAGCGCGATAATTATTGCGACGATAGTTAAATACTCGAAAAGTCGATATTTTCGATAATAATGAATAACAACAATAACAAAGGGTAAAAACGAACAAATTCGCGGTATAACCTTAAATAAAAACCTAGATAAAAAATTTTTAATTTATTTTTTTGGACCACAATTATAATCCTTACGCGGATCGCAAGTAAGTCACTCGCTTCTTTAAAGTTTGTAAACAGCATTAGATTGTGTTAGTACATTCGCACTTCTAAAAGTTGAAACTTTGCAGCTAATATTTGAAAACGAGGATTCGAATTTCGAGTTATCTTACAACAATAATATTGTTATTATCAACTGATAAGAAAGGTTCTAATAACGGACCCAATTACTTATTAGGGGAGTAAAGTGACTCGGCCCCGGAATATCAATCAACGTAGTTAAACAGATTAAAGAATCAATATAAGAGATCTTAGCACATATTTTTAAATTTTAATACAATAATATGGGATGGTAGCATACCAGATTCATTTTAAAAGTGCCATAGTAACTCCCATTTATAAAAACGGTGATAAAAAACTAATCAATAATTACAGACCGATAAGCTTACTTTTTCAAACAATTTTTAGCGGGCTATGAAAACGACTTTTAAAGTACTTAGAAGTACTTAGAATAATATCCTACCTAAATCTCAATATGGATTTAGTAATAATCTAGGAACATGAGACGCCTTAGCACGACTTTCCGTGGATATTTAATATTAACTTAAATAATAATAACAAAACAGTGGCGTCCGCAGGGATGGGGGCTAAAGGGCTGAAGCCCCCCCCCCATTGCCCGTATTATTGTTACTTTTTCAAAAAAATATTAATCAAGTTAAACTGTCGACTATAGTAAGCAAGAAGTAAATTTCATATATGTCTTACCAGAATGAATTCATTTTTGAAAGAACATTGTATTTGCATACCAATTTTCATAAATTATCTGTAATTTTTAGGTAAAAGTATGAACTACTTGTATGAAAGACCTTGTATTAAATTGTCTAGCCTTAGCTATATAATATATTTTATATTTTATAAGTTTTGAACTACAAATTAACTGTCATTTTGACAAAATTTGAACTTTAAATGCTTATAAGAAATAACAATGGTGCCTATGTAGTGTTTGAAGTATGAAATATTCCACAAAAACCTGACACTTTGAAATTATTTTACACAAATAAAAACACAATTTATTTATTTTTTTAACACAATGTTCAGTGTTCTAAATTCTAATGACAGAATTCAGTATTTATACAATAAACATGTATAATATTGTATACCTACTTGTATCATTTAAACATTAAAATATTTAATAATTTTGAATACCATTTTAAATGTATAATACCAAAGGTTAGGTATACATACAGGTACTATATAGTTATGAAGGTAATTTATGACAATTACATGTAAATATAAAACTTATTTAAAAATAAAACAAAATATATCAAAATACTGAAATATTTCATTTTTTTTAAATTTCATGAAATTTTCAAACACTATGCCTATGTATCGTTAATATTTTAGCTATAATAAAATAACTTACATATTACATTTTTAAGGTTTTTGACCGGATAAATATAATTATGTTATAATAATTAAATAGGTATACTTTTTTATTAACATTTATATAGAAAAAAAAATTTAATTATTCAAATACAATCCAAGTGAAGACGGTATAACCAAACATTTAAATAAATTTTCATTTTTTTTTATATCCGGGGTCAATTAGGAAGAAGTTCATCTAAAAAAGCAGAAACGGACCTGCACTTGATAAATGCATGGTTTCTTGAACATAATTTTAAAATAAACTACACTAAATCAAATTACATTAATAAAATTCACCTTAGACAAAAGAACGCAACCCAATTAAAATTCATGATATTTATATATATTGTAAATCTAATAATTGTTCATGTAATGTTATAAATAAAACGGAAATTATTAAATATTTAGGTATTACATTTGATCAACACCTAAAATGGGATACACACATAAATAACACAATAATGAAACTACGGAAAATACACTATCAGTTCAATAAAGCAAGAAAATTCCTAAATAACCAGGTTTAACTTTTTTATACTTTGCCATGACACTATCCAGTGGCGTATTTAGGTTTTTGTCATGGGGGGATATCATTTTATCCAGTAGCCTCACATTTAAAGCTAGAGGCGACTCCAAAAAATTTTGCATATTATATACAGTCTAGGTATCCCCCCTGTAAACACGTCTCTGACAATATCTATTTTACAATATGGAATAAGCACTTGGGGTGTTTTAGGTATTATAGGAAACAGTACAACATTCAGAGCTCAAAAAAGCATAATTAAAATAATTTTGAATAAACAAAAAACATAATGAATTTAAAGTTTTTACGACGCAATTATTCTACAGAAATGCCCTATTATATATTATACATACAGATTTAATTTAATTGAGTTTAAACCTAGATACTCCAAGTTATAACAGACGTCTAAAAAACAGCTTAGAAATCCCTACTGTTCGTGTATAGAAAGTCAATGTTTTCGTAAGTGGGTTTGAGATTACTATATTATATTCAGGTACAAATTATTGACAGTACATCTTATAAAATATATTAATTAAACACTCTATTAAACTAATGGTTGTTAAATAATACTAGTGACCTATAGCCTATGTAATTTACTAGTGTATAATATAATGTAGACTATTTATTTATCTATTCCATTTTTGTTGTAACTTTTTATATTATATTTATTTATTGCAATTTAAGTTTTTATTATTATATTACTAATTAATAACTACTACTATAGCCTATAGGTATGTTTATTTATGTTTTTGAATTATAGTCAAATATGATGCAGTTTCAAAATATCAAAAATATTATAAAATTTATAAATTTATACTTATCTTCTTTTAATAGTACCCAGGTACTCCATCATCACCGATAAGAGGTTATCCTTAGTGGTGATATAGGCCATTTAACTATGTTATATATATATAATCATTGATCATTTACTGAAAATTGTAATTTTTTTGGCCAGTAATACCTATTGTTATTAATAAACCACTTCGAAACCAACAAGTTTCAAGAAAGTAAAAATGTTCAACTTTAATTTAATTGTCCTGCTAAGTAATCGCTTTTAAATGTTCAGAAATGGGTTTGCAGATTCAACAAAGACTTAAACAGGCTTTGGTATCATACAAAATGAAAGAAAAACGGAATGTTAACAAAAATAGTAGCAATTAAAGAAATCAGAATATTAAATTTGGACCAAAATGACTGTTATCAGCTTTATATATATTATAATCTGTATTATTACATATATTTTTATTTTACTGTTCTCTGAAGTTGATAAATCCTTAAGTTTAAACTTCACATAATATTACCTATGATTTAAGCTTTCTATTTTTTATATAACAAATGTAAATAATATTAATTAATATAATAAACTTTTTTTAAGTAAACTGTAAATAACATTTTATTGTTATAAAGTTGTATATTAATTAATCACTTGAGAGTTGTGAATACACTAAAATTAGAAATTTTAGTTGTAATTCCTTGTATTATAAATAAATATTTATAAAACACTTGACATTACTGTGTCAGAAATCAAAATATGTACCTATTTAAGAAAAATTACGAAATAGTATAATGTGAAAATATATTACTTATTACTATATCTATTATAAGGTAGAAAAATAAGTTAAAATAAAATTCAAAAATGATGTTTTTTATTGTATAAAAAAAAAAAAATATATTTTTAAACTTATGTACCGTTAATTTGACAAACCGTCAATTTTCCTTAAATTATTAACAATAGTTTACTCTCCATCTGAACCAGAATCATCATCCAGAGATTCCTTAGCATATTTCAATGCATCATCAAATACTTCTTTTGAAACTTCTTCATGTTTTCCATTAGTATGGCTACCAACCCAGCTAAGTTCAAGTTCAAACTGTTTATCTTTCAACTCATCATGCACCATGTAAATTCTAAAAATAAATAAATAAATTGTCAAACCATACAAATACAAAATAACAAATGTTTGTATACATCTTAGCAGCTTCTTTAATCAATGCTTTACATTTCATTGTCTTCATATTCAACTTTTCTATTTCAGTTTTGGCAGCTTGTTTAGCTTTACCAATGGCACATCCAAAATATCCCTAAAATTACAAACAATTATAAATGTGAGAAATTACATTTTTAGTTTTTATAAATATATTAATAGAGCACAGATTTTTTAATTAATATTAAAAATTTTAATATAAGTAGGTACTGTCACCGTATTGACCTAGAACCAACATTTGTATTGATTTTTGTAATAAGATTTACAAAAAATTCAATATTTAACAATATTTATAGAGGAATAAACAATAACATACAAATGATACTCCAGCTGGATCAATCATATACATTTGAGGACCTTCCTTAGGATCGTAAGAGCCAATAATAACAGCACATCCAAATGGCCTAATAGCACTGTACAATGTATGAGCATGAATGTACATCGATACTCGTTCATTTAAATATTTCAATGGAATGGGCATACAGAAATTCTGACGGTATGACCTCGCTTCCTCACGTGCGACATCTAATATTGCACCGGAATCAGCATTCAATCCGCCAACAGCCTAAATGGAATGTTATATTACTATAGGATAGGCTAAAACTACATATATATATATGTCAAATCCTACCATTCCAATATGATTTTCCACACTAAACAATCGTTTTCCTGTACTATCTTCATGAAGTTTTGACGTGACCAACTTCTCCACAGCAAAAACGACACCATCAGAACCACGTAAAGCTATGGCAGTTCTACAAATCATGGATCCAATTAAAAATAATTAAATAATTAAATAGCTATATTATGGTATTTACCCACTATTTTCAACTGCTTTGAAAGCATATTCAACTTGAAATACTCGACCATCAGGCGAAAACTGAGATGCCGATAAATCATACTGTAAACAAAATATTTCACATGTAATATATCTTGCGAAATCTAAAAATATAATGAAAATTATCATCATCTTTAATTTTGTCAATTGTACATAATAAATTACGTTAAACAATCGAAAATGTAAAATGGACATTGCCGTTGAAAATATTAAAACAATATACTTACACCAGTTCCAATTGAACTCATTTTGAATTATATATTGTGATTAAAGCGCTTTCTAGTTTCTAAATCGCAGTGGCTATTTTCACGTTCGAGGAAATCCTTTCTAGAAAGCGAAGCGAAACGTCAAGAAAGTTCAATATGAATTCACTAACAACCAAAATAACTGAAGTAACTGAAAGTCATGACATGTCACATGATCTATAATATTCTATTTTGTCATGCTGACCAGTGTGGCCAACACTTGTCAGCAAAAAATGGTCAAACACATGAAAATATTGTGTACATAATAATATACACTTTGTATTAATACAATTTGAAAGTATTATTGAAAATAATTGTAAATTAAAAGCAATTAATTAATAACTAGTTTGGCAGACTTCCTTTTCACTGAATTTATTACAAAATTTGGTTCTAATTTTCAATATTAGATTATTGTCGCATTCCTGTTGTAATCTAATACATGATAATAAACATTACAATTTCGTTTTTATGTTCACTACAAGAAAATATTTATAATCTGGCACTATTATCCAGAACATCATCAAGTGTCCTGAAATACTGATGACTTGTTACAGTTCTCTGAAAAAGAATTTTAAATGGCTACAATTATTAGTTGATTAAAATGTCCATTAGGTTGAATTTCTGTATATTTCGTGCTACAAACTAAGTTTACAATACCTATGTCTATGGCATAACTTCTTTAATTAATTTCTAACTTTTAATTTAATATAATATACGCAATACGCCCTCTGGTTGTTCGCCTATCGTTTCGGGTACCCACGACTAAACCGCGAACTGCTTCAACACCTTCTGCCCAGTCACGTTATTGACATATCGACTAGATATATAAAGGTCCTTAACAGCAAAATAAATGTCCTAATGGACAACGGCATAAATAACATTAACCGGCAGAAGCCACAAGTTGTGAATGACAGTTTGCTAATGACAAAAGAGTGGTCATAAATTGTATCACGTCGGACGTGAAAATGGTCACTGCGTTTCTAATAATCTGTTTTAATATAAAAATTTTAGGAACGAAAAAAAAATTTATACTTTTTACTTGAACTGCAATCTGCATCTGTTCGGGGGTCAGTGACCATGCGTGTGTCCCGACCAGGTTTCGGTGCTGGCAGGATCAGTATGCGGAAACATGGGGTTCTATGGGCAGAAACGGTTTTTTCTTTTTTGATACTGTTGAAGTCTCTTTCCACAAGTTTAAAAATAGTAACCTCGTTTCAACGATTATACATAAACATTATATTGTTTTATAGGTAGGTTGTTGGTAGATACACAATATTATATACACAATATAATATTAATGTATTGTTATAAATATTATTAGGCCGCTGAGGACTTCTAATATTTGAATATATATGTCTATTGTTTGTGCAATTGTTAGACAAGGCCAGCAGCCAGCTAGAAACAAATTTCTATAGCCTACATTTTATATTGCATATACTATATTAGGATTTTTGTTATAAATTAAGGTTTATTTCTACTTCGAGGTAGCAGTCGACACCTATAGTAGAGGCTATGGAGCACAACTTGTGCTCACAGAGTGTGCAGTGTATGTGCAGCCGCCAGCCACACACGGAACACGCAGCAAACAATTCTACGCATTTAAAATGTTTGATTTATTTAAAAATATAATCCTAACTTTTAATTAAGAGTAAAATACATAAAAAAGTTGGTAACCACTCTGTTGTAGGTACTCTTATAGTATATAGACGCAACTATAGGCTTACAATACATACACTATTCCGCATAATTTTAAATATAACGTTGCCGTTCCGAAAACAAAATATATATTATTGTAACATACCTAATATTATATTACAAATCATTTTGGAAGGTTGGGCAAGTTAACGATTTTTTCTAACCCGTTGAGATAAGTTATTTTTAAAATAATTAAATTAAGTTAAGTTAAAAATGTTTAAAAAAGAACTCAATAATGGTGTCAATATGGAAGTATGTCACAATTCATTTCACCTGTAAATGTTAGGATTTGGGAAAATATTCGAACTAATTTTATCTCAGTGCAGTAGAAATTGTGAATATTATATACCTATATAATATTTGTAGAATATTATTTCGTTATTACGTAGAGTAAACGTAATTGACATTTATCTAATACTTTATCTGCAAAATTAAGTTGATGGACTTTTAACAACTGGTATTTGATAATATGGATGTCATACCAAAAAAAAACGAGTTTTTGTATCAAATTAATGCTTATGAAATTTCATATGAAGCCTGTTATGATCCTTATATTCTAAAATATATCTCATCATAAGGAAAAAATATTAAGCATAAGCCCAAGTTACAATATAGGTACCTAATGTGTAAAGCTGTAAAATGTAAGCTAAATTCATTCCAAAGTTTTATTTTCAAAAGCGCAAAATCGTTTAAAGCACAAAATGACAAGGCTGCTGGCTGGGCCTTAAAATTAAGTTAAAACGTTAAGTTAATTTTAATTAAGTTAATTAATTAGGTTCTTACTTTTTTTCAAAGTTAACTATTAACTTCATGAGTTAACGAAAAATATACGAGTAACTTTTAACTTAACTATTAATTATTTTAAAAATAACTCAACTTAACGAGTTAAAAAAAAATCGTTAACTTGCCCAGACTTGACAAATGATTTGTAATATAATATTATGTTACAATAATATATATTTTGTTTTCGGGATGGTAACGCTGCATTTAAAATTATGCGGAATCGTATATGTATTTCAAAAATGGCTATTCAAATCAACATGATTCCAAAAAATTGTTTATAGCGGTAGGTGTCTAAAAAGTAAGCGGCGACGAAGTATAGTTTAAAAATACTCGGGCAGACTAGGTAAAAAATATAGGCACTACTTACCCCTAAAACATGTCAAGCAGACTTATGGGGGGCTTTTAGAAAAAATGCTTCGATTTTCAACTGAGATCGTTTCTGGTGAGATAGTGAATCTAGTTGGTACTTCAGACAGGTCAAAATGGAACATTCCCTAGTTTTCAAGTGTCAGGAAAAAAAAGGTAGGTAAGTGGATGTCGCTCTGCTGTACAGTAGGTTACAAGTGGGTCACTGTATAATGGATGCTATTAAATTTGAATTCAATGATACAATATCATTGTATAAGAAAAACGATTCTGAGCGAAGACGGTATGTCAGTCTAGGTTTAAGACATATTATATACATATCTATGGTATTAAAAAAAAATTGACCTATAGGTAATAAATTCCAAATTAATCATATCACAATATCCATTGGGTACTTATAAGCGTTATACCTTATACATCAACAACAAACCGTGATACTAACATAGATATTATATAATAGTGTACTTTAGAAGTTTCAAGTACCCACGAATAATATTATACAATCACAACAAAATAACTAAAATAGTTGTTCTAGGTTTTTTATTATGTAATTTCGTCAAAATTTGAACTTAAAATGACTATAAAAATAAACTGTGCTACTGTATTCTTTAGATTTTTTGGTTACAGTAAGAACTATTTATGAGAACCTTTGTTTTGAATTTGCAATCCTTGGCTATAAAAGCTGAACATTTTATAATTTATTAATTACAATGATTGATAATTTTCGAGATTTTGATCAATTTTGTCAAAATTCGATCTTTAAATGCTTATAAAAAAAAATTGTGCCAATGTATTTTTAATATTTTTCAATTGCTACTGTAACAATATATCAGGAACCTTGTATTAAATTTTTACACTTTTTGGCCCAACAGATAAAACTTTATTGATATTTAGAGAAAAAAAAAACTTAAAAAATTGAAAACTGAAAATGTCCGTAAACAGCTCAAAAGAGTCGAAATATTTTCAAAATTGTACAGTGTATAGGAATTGCTAATCTGAACATTCAGTGAAATTTTCATGTATCTATAGTTATTCGTTTTTGAATTACAACAAAATAAGAAAATCGTTACATGAGAAATCGAGTGAATATCCAATGTTGTAAAAATTTTAATTTCAAACGCTCATAAACATTTAATTTGACTTTCCGGTAGAGATTTTTTTATTGATGAAGGTGGACAATCTTATGAGTAATCTTGTATTAGATTTTCAAATCTTAGATTTAAAAAGAAAAATGTTTACGAATTCTTAACTCAAAATAATTTGCTAATTTTCGTGATTTTTCCATATTTTGTCAATTTTTGAACTTTAAATGCTTATAAAAAAAAACTGTGACTAACGATTTTTAATATTTTTCATTTGCCTTTGAAACAATATACTAGGAGCCTTCTATTAAATTTTCAAGTTTTTTTAACCAACAAATAAAATTTTATTGATATTTCTAGAAAAAAAACTAAAAAAAAATGAAAAATGAAAATGTCCTTAAACAGTTCAAAATAAATCAAAATATTTTGAAAATGTTATCGTGTATAGAAAATGCAAATATAAACAACCAGTGAAAATTTCATGTATCTACGGTCATTTGTTTTAAAGTTACACCAAAAACCAAATTCAATTTTCTGAAAAATCGATTTTGCGTAAAAATTCCAGTTTTTCCTTAATTTTTCTTTTGTTTTTCTTGGCGCTTTTGAAAAGTACTGGGAATTTTAAATTTTGACCTCCCCAATGCACCCACGATATTCACTTTCCAATCGAACAAGATACTGAAGTCGAAAATCGAAGGATTATTTCGACTACTTATCGTGTACACAGACACAAAAATAAAAAATAAAAAAATTGAAAAACGAGGATTTTTACTCAAAACCTGTTTTTTTTTGGTGTAACTAAAATACTACCTATAAAAAAAAAGTAGTTATAACAACTGTGGATACTTTAAAGTTTCACCGGATGTTTTGATGATGTATATTGTACATACCATATTCTATTCACCATTCAAAATATTCTACTCTTTTTTGAGTTATTATTGGACATAAAAAATTTTAATTTTTCAATATTTTTAAATTATTGAAGATAAAAATGTTCTTTTGGTCAAAATACTTAAAATATAATACAATATTCCTCATAAATTGTTATTTTAAAGTTCCTACTCACTCAACTAGGTA